AGGCTGCGGCAAGTGGAGGTATACACCTAAATCCAAAATTGCGCGCGACCGGTTGAAAACGAGCCATCCAGGGCCAAATTTACAAATTTACAATATTTTCTTATAATTTGGTGCTGCAAAATTGTCGTGTTCCTGAATGTAAGAAGAAGAAAAGAAAGCCGGACAGAACAAGTGAACAAGTGTATACTTTGCGTTGACACCATATTATTTCTTTACATTTGGCCCTGGATGCCTTATTTTCATGACACACTCAACCGTGCGCCATTTTGGACTTAGGTGTATTGCCACGTCCACTTTTTGGGTAGCACTTTTTCTTTTGGTGTTAAAAATGCTTATAGACACAATATACTGAACTGCCATTCAATCAGTCGAGAATAAGAAACCTATTTTTTTCTTTGAACGAGAATCCGACAAAGGGGGCATAGCTGTAGTATATATCACCTCTCCGGCCTCTGTAAGGTCTCAGGTCAGGACACTAAGAGGTTGTTTTAAGACGAGTTCTATCTGTGATAAAATTGATGCTTGGTTTTCTATTTGGAGGCCGTCATTTCGTGATCATTTCAGACCATTTTTTATTTGTCGCAGACATTTGAAACCACATTATTTTTTTCCTTTTTTTACACTAACACATTATCTGGTACTATACCAATAAATTAAGATACTGTCTAGAACTTATTGATACTGTCTGATGTGGGAACTCAAGCCTCAAATATGATACTAAGTAATTAAGTCGATGGAACCAACTAGATTGATTTGGTCATTCTATTAATGTAACTCCTCCTGAAGTATAATGACTGAATTTGAGGGACATATGGTTTTCTCAGTTTACACCATTTTAAAATTCTTTTTGTGTGGGTCACATAAATTTACCACCTTCTTTTTGTCGGTGATTAGACATGACTAGACATGTTTGCGTAGGAAGGAACCGAAAACTTAGAAAAGTTGCCTGACGACGTCTTATATCAGCAATAGACTAATTATTAATCATAGTATCTTGACAAAAAAATAAGTGCCACGCTATCATTATTTAGGTTTTCCCTGGTTTGAATGAATGTACTTTATTTCACGAGGGTAACATACGACAGTTATAATTTAAACATTCATCTAGATTGTGACGGTAAAGTTTTTTGGATGAACTTCCGCAGTTATGTCTTCCTGAATTTGATCGATGTTCTGTCTTTCTGTCTCGCTCGCCGCGGTCAGGAATGCCAGTTACCTCTCCAAAATAGTACATTTGTACAATTGTCATGATTTTACCCAGAGGAAAACCAGAAACTGAAAAGTCAATAATCATTTCAACTCTACTGACATGTGCATGGTGGTGGGTCTGAGGATTGTTACCTCTTGACTAACACAGCAATGCGAGACAGCGCATTAGCAGCGCCCACCACACTTGCTCTATCTCCAAAAATATATCTCCAACGTTTCTCCAGACATGCATAAACCAGTATTTCCATGATGAACTAACTTAGTGTGATTCAAAAGTTATTTTCCTTTCATACAGAGGGAATAGACCTCAATGGAATAGACCCTTTCAATAAAACCCACAATGCCTTATTTTCCGCGTTTGACGTCAAATGTATTCTTTTGGAATTTGTTTTTCTAAATTAAATTGAAAAGAAAAAAAATTGATGTCAAGCGTGGAAAATATAGCATTGGGGGATTCATAAAGGGGTGAATACTGCCAACGCCCCTAGATTCCCTGTTCATTTGCGCGTCATTTGAAGACACTAGGACTCATGATCAAAAGTTTCATGTGATCAACTGCTTGGTATCATTCTGCTATCTGTATAACCACAGAGTATTGTATTGCTTGAATTAGCTGTCTGTATCAACCACAGTATTCTATTGCTTGGTATCAATCTGCAGCTGACTGACTCGTGAATCTCATTACCAGCAAACATTGCCAGTGATTTGCGGCTGTTTTCTATTGCTAGGTATCGATCACTGAGAGAAAGACTCGCGAATCTCATTGTAAATGCTAACATGGAAGCACAGGTGTCGTAGCGGTGAGAGAGCTCATCAGCTGAGTACATGATTCTCATGATTCTCATTACCAGCTTTCAACGAATTGAAGGGCAAACATTACCCTTCGTGCCCAAACATCCATTCGGGTGATAAAATTTTCACGAGACCGGAAAACACGTCAATGCTAGCAGCTCAAAGCGTAACTGCCTTGGTCAGATTTTTTATTTGGACTTTATTTGGACTCTGCTGAGACACAACTGTCTGTTCAAGGTATCTGAGTTCCCAAGCATTTTTGTGGTTATCATGCCTAAAGTTTGGAAGAGGTTGCAAACCAAGTGGTATGAGCGATGCATGAGATTCATGCGTAAAAAGATTTCGTATAAATATTTTGTTCCATTTTTTTTTTTTAGTGCGTAACCTGATTTTTGTTTTCATTTGATTTTTCATCTTGGCCCTTTTCCATAGTGTCTCGTCTCGTGACAAATCTGTCCGATATAATGTTTTCGCCAATGTTAACCAGCTACTCCCACTTAGGGTCACTAACTTTACAAGTAGTCTACATTGATACATAAGTCTACATAGGTCTTGGCAAGACCTACAGTTGCTCGTTGATGAAAGCCATTGACATGGCGGTTTTAGGAATTCTAGGAGGGTACTGAGTAATCTATCGCTTTGTCTCTCCTATCGGCTTCGAAAAACATCCTCAAACTGCCAAATAAAAGGACGTTATCCATCGAAATGAAGAATGGACGACGGAGGGGCGTTCCTAGTAATTTAGTCTCCTTATAATAAAGCACGCCAGATATTTTTTATCTCGTCTCTTCCTTTCTTGTCGTTTCATTTTATCTGTATATAACCGCGGCTCTTTCTCTCTCTTCTACAAACTACGCCCAAGTTAGAAAATATAATTTTACATTCAATTTTGAAGTATTTGTTTTAGCTAATCTCCACTCCTCATCCTGCCTTCTAGTTGCATTCAGCCTTCAGTGAGTCTTCCTCTGTCTATAGCTTATACACTTTTAATTTTCGCAAATACGTATTTAAAGATAATGATTATTGAAAGCTGAATAGATGTTGTATTTCAGCTCGTTATTTGATTGGGCGGTAACCTGGTCTGCAGCATCCATCCAGCTTTCAACGATTATTATCTTTGAACGTGTTATATAGGCGAGGACTTAGACTACATTTCCCCTTTGAACTTCTGTCAAGTTTCCCATTGTATTATATTTTCAAGACTATTGATATTATATGCTACTATGTGGTGAATAGGTATCGACGCTTATCATCTAAAGGGGCGAACATTTGAGATTTGCTGGTTACAGACTATTGATATTATATGCTACTATGTGGTGAATAGGCATCGACGCTTATCATCTAAAGGGGCGAACATTTGAGATTTGCTGGTTACACATCGTAATGGGAGTAATGTTTCCAATTTCAAATCAGGTGTCATTCCCTGAACCATTGTTAACGTAGCTCGTCAGATAATGTCATCAATTTAATGCGACAAATCACATGCATCACAGGCTCAATGTTTGTTCACAATGATGTTTAATGATTCGCTCAGTAATGCCTCCCCCTCCCCCCCACGTTATAAATAATGAATGGGAGGGGTGGGTGCATTTGCATGTGGTCCCTTTGGCAAGATGACTCATGAAGTGCTGATTATGTTCATAGGTATTGGATGTTGGGTGGTGGCGGGGATGAGGTGGTTGCATTTGACTAGCGTAGTCCACTTCCCTCTATAAACTTCTGGGAAGCTCAGCTTCCTCCGCCTATGGCTATATTCGGAGTGCATGTGACGTCATAGCCTCTATTTTCGTTGACTTTGACAAAAGATTTGATCTTGGATGTTTTTTTTTGTCAAGCTAGTCAACCAAAATGGCGGCCACGACTCTCATGGAGAATGATGCGTACCTTTCATATGTATTAAAGATATTGTCATCATGTAGCGCATAATTTTATATCGGGACTAACGAGCGTGGGCTCTTCAGTCGGAAGAGTCCTCGCAATTTATTATCAATCCTAAAGCCCCGTTTACACTGGCGATTTTTGCGGCGAATTTTGCGGCGATTTTTGTGGCAATTTTTGGAAATGTGAAATCTAGGGAAATCTTGGTATCCTGAAAAAGACTTTACAAGTAAATTCTTTACCATTATTTATTGTGGACAAAATCGCAAAAAAATCGCAGCAAAAATCGCTAGTGTAAACGGGGCTTAATGAGGTGTTTAGAATGCAGGTCATTATTGTAACAAAAATGCTCCGACTATTTTCTAGAAGTCATTTTGTCAGTATTTTGTAGCATTTAGTCTAAATATAACATATCTAAGAAGACCAAAAATGGCCTTATAAAATTTTCCCTAACTTTAATATAACTTGCACGAAAATGACTCGAGAATATCAAATGCGCGCGCGGACAAAATATTTCATCATCTAATCATTCAGTGACTTTTAACACTTCTCACTCGATTGGAATTTGACTTTGGCCAGGTTATGATATTTGATCCCATAATACAATATAAACCTCTAAAAGAATTTGGTGTAGGGTCGGCCGGCGATTTGCCGATTACTTACTCGCAGACAACACGTGGGCACAGCTTCTCGAATTTGTTATTCTGTACTGTCGCGATTTGGTTTGAGGCCAGAGATTTTGAAATCCTCAGAGCTGTGTACTCGCTAAATGTCTTATTGTCTCCACATATGATTAATAGACAAGCTGTTTGAGATTTTCGAGAAAGGTTTGTATATCAGTTGATAAATTTGGAAATCCACTCACTTCAAATTTGAAACTTTAATTATACACTAATATATGTTTTTAAGGATTTTCGTTTGCAAAAATATGTTTTTGATTGAGGGTAAATTATCGGGAATGCGAGATAATTGTAACCGAAGTTGTCAATCCTTGCTTGGATAAGTGTAAGCATGCTAGTCTGGTGAAACATAAGCCGCTAGCAGTGTTTTAGTGAGGTTTATTGCATTGTAATACGCTCTTATACTCAGTCGACTAACACCTTGTCTTCTTGACTATGTAGAGAGCACCGACTGGAGAAGCTCTTGGTTCTAAGATGAGAATTTTCCAATCCTTGCTGTCATTGTTGGTGGTCCTGCCTTGTTTACTTCTGTCCACAACCGAAGGTAATTCTTCAATTCATAATTCTATAAAACTCAGGCAAAGTTTGCGCTGTTGAAATATTTTTACCAATAGTTTTAGATGTCTGGTTACCTTAGCGGAGCACGACTGACCTCTTCTCACGAAATCGTTGTCTATAGACAAATTTAATAATTAATTTCCTTTTTCAAGTTCACTGCCTGTAATTTTCATTTGTAACTTATCAATTGTATGTTGCAGTCGGCGAAATATTTTTTCAAGCACAATATCAGTATGGTTTCTCGCTGTTATTCTCGTCGAATGCACTTAAATTTCGCTGCTGTTGCTTGCTGGCATTTAACCTTTTTACCGGTAGTGTCTGAGCTCTCCATAAACATAATCCCGTCTAAGTTTTCAAGGCTCTTTGTTTACAATGCTTCGACCATTTGAGCTCCTCCGCCTTGTCCATCGAAACGCATGGAGCTCCACGTCCATCTCTTTTACCTCAAAGATATAAGATATTTTCATTCGCAAGTTGCTTTGGCCCTTTTCGTAAGCCCTTGTAATTTCTGATATCTTAATGAGATTTCAAAGTTAAATTTCCTCTATTCAAACTAACTGATATACATCAGTTAAAGCTGTTTTGATATTACGATTATTATGTCGTCGCAAATACAAAAATCGAATGACTTTCTCCATATTTGTTTTCCATTGTGAATTCTCCTTAACTCGTGTCAATAATGAGTAACCTACACGCGCAATCAACCAAGCCGGCTCTCCATAACACTTTTTAAAATGTTATATTAATTCAATAGTAATATTTATTTTCCATATGTAGAAAGCGTGAAAGAGATCGCTCTTTAATTGTTGATATCATCAATGGGGATTTTCATTTGAAGGAATATTTGAAATCATTTTTAATACGTACATCACAAAGGGGGAAATTTGGCATTCCATTCGGAAACGGCAGACAGGCGCGGTGAAGTAAAATCTTTTAACCGGAAATGCTATTGCTACAAATGTGTTATCAGTGAAAGGTATGATGATCAAGCTCTCATATACAAATTATGTCCTCATTTTTATTTTTTTCTCTCCTAGACTTAATAGAAAGACAGGAATATAAAATTTTATGCAAGTGGTACAAGGAGTCGCTAGATTGAATTTATATCCAGATTATAAGAATTTAATTTGAGTTTAATACATCTGTAGTTTTTGTTTCATACTTGACCTCGTTGAAAGTTCAGGCTCGATTAACATGATACTCGCTAGACTTGGCTGCGAAGCTTGCATTGCTTGAGACTCGTATTTTCTTAATATTCTTTTATTTAAAAAAAAAAAAAAA